CACAAACTCCTCTCAAATAGGCTCTTTAATAGGAAGACCCAGCAGGTAGTAGTGGGTAAAATGAAAGTCTCCAAAAGGGACTTCTGCTGCACCCATGAAGGAAGTGATGTGAAAGTCTAATTTCGGTAGAATCGCTCTCTGAATGGTTTTGGTGAAAAACCTTTTGTAATGCAACTGCTGCAAAGCACAGGGTGCACAGATGAGGTAGAACACACAGGCACCTACAGGGCTGTATCAAAGAATCACACAGACATCACAGGCCCCTACACGATACAAGGTAAGGGGCTTCAGTAAGACATAGCAGCATGTGGCGAGAGTTTCTGAGGTTTGTCTGTGGGACCGGACAGGTGCTGCTCTACAGAGAAGACGGCAACACGCTGAGGGACTTGAGGGAGTAGCAGGGCAGCTCTGACTCAGCAGCTGCTGGCTCTCTCAGCAGACCACAGCATGGAGATGTTCATCAATGTCAGGCATCAGCCACATGGCACATGGGACGCGGAGAGGTGCTTCCATACCTCAGGTCTACAGCTTCACGGCACGGGGGGGGGGGGGGGGGGCATGGGGGTGGCTTTCATAAAGTCACAGCACCGCGGCAGGGAAAGTAACAGCCCTGCAGTGTGGGCCACAGTGCACGTCTGTGTTACAGGACTGCATGTGTGGGAGAAGAACATGGCACATAAGCTCCGTGGGGGAGAGCAAGTTGGTATTTAGGCATTCATCATGTAGCAACAAGCAGTTATTTCTTGTTTTAGAGGACATTTTTACCCATTTGCAAAAATGGAAAATTGTCATTTCAGGATTTAGTACCCTGCTTAAGCATGCCTGATCATGCTGCGTTCCACAGGACTTCTGGTTACTCCATATTTGTCCTGTAACTTGCTTATTCTCAGCCAGTGGCATAATGGTTTAAACACACCACAGGATTACACATTTAGAGTGTCACATGCTAGCTGGTTCTACAAGCAGTAGCGGAACATGGTTATGATTTGCATACTAATCAGAAAGCTTGTGTTGATGTACAGAGATTCATCTAAAGAGTTGTTTAAATTTAAAGCTTTAATACGATTTTCTGCTTTTGGGCATTATGCGGTTCCCAGGGAGAAGACGGGAGGGAATAAGGAAAAAAAAAAAGACCCTGGATGGTGTATAACTGTTGGCTAAAAGTAGTGTAATTAAAAAGTGTTATAAAAATGCCACAGCTAATTATATGCAGCAAAAGTGTTTATACTCATGCATCATTTATTTGTAATGGACTAATCTGGATGCTGCATTATTTCTGTAAATACACTGTTGACTATATACCTCCGGCCTGCGTAGTTAACTTGTAAAATGTAAATGTGCATCCATTCACCCATCTTCTACACCTGCTTGTTCTATGCAGGGTTGTGGGGGTCCAGAGCCAGCAGAAGTGGCAGCGAATAACCCAGGATGAGGCACCAACCCATCACAGACAAAAAAAAATGTAAGTTTGTAAAATAATATTGCTAGTTTGGGATATGCATTCCCTTTCTTGAGAGCTTTGTCATCTAAATCGTCAACTGGTCTGATCTCACTACTGAACTTTTCCATTTCTGTCAGTTGTGCAAAATTCATTTCTGATCACACTTCTATCTCCGTTTGCAGAGGTCCAGTAAACCCTCGGCCTGATTTTGTGTTCCTGTTCATCCCTAAAGTGAAAATTTCAGTTCACACAAACTTTGCAACAGGACTCCAGACTGATTTTCTTGTTTTAAGTGATGGCGTTTGTAGGTTTAATCAAACCATGAAAGGCCAGTTTGCCTTCCATGCCCATTTCCTGCTCTATCAGGTTACTCCTCAGAGATATCTGGGTGTCTTACAATAAGCTCAGACCTGTCTCCTGGGATGGTGCCCTGTCCTCCAAACGATCCACGGCCATGCCCAACTTCTAGATACGATTGTCATGCTCTTCTGTGCTCAAAATACTTTACATTTTTCTCATGGGGAAGATGAAGGTCTCACATTCACATATTTTCAACCGTCCACGGTGATTCTCGCTCATCCTAAACAAAACCGGTAAAGGACCCTGGGTAAACTGGAGAACTAACCAGTCGCTAACGAAGTCCTTAGTTTAAACAGCCGTAACAATGTGTCGCCGGCATATTTCATCATAAAATTATAGGCGCAATTATGCGCCCAGAGCGGGGGTGGCCATGAGATCATCCCTCCGGAATAAACGGGACATTCCGCCCATATTAGAGACGAGTCCCGGTAGACACGGTGAAGCAGAATCGGCCGCGCTGTGCAGCGTCCCTGCGGCAACGCACCGACATAAACACAGCCCGGCAAAGACGACCAACACCCCGCCGGGGAACAAAGGCCACGGCCAAAGGCGCTCCGGACCGACCCCAGGAGGCTCAGCGGGAAGCTGCCAAGCTCCACACGGACCGCACTGGGGCGTGTGACCGCGACCACGACCATGAACAACTAAGCACCTCGCTGTGAGGCCACCGGTTGGGGTGACACGGTCATACTTCAGCCACTCACCAGCTGTCCTCGTCCTCGTTTAGACAGTCCATGTCCTCCAGGTCTAGGATCTCCACCTCGTCCAAAACACTGCTCCTGCTGTCTTCCAGATAATCCGCAGCGTCCGAGAAATATGCCGGCAGGGAGGTGGCCGAGCTGGAAGCGGAAGGTCCCTCGCCCTCATAAGTCCTCCCGTATCCCGAGCCGTCGTACGACAGCCGGGAGCTCAGGCACCGTGAGTTCTCCAAAACCCCGCCGTAGCCCCTCGTCCCCCCGAACCCCACCCCGGGGAAGCCGGCCAAACCCGCAGCTGCTCCGACCGACAAGGGCGACTCGTATCCGGCGCTCACGGGTCTGACATTAGCAGACATCCCCCCGGATGAGCCCAGTAAGGAGGAGCGGCTCCGGAGCTGCTCATTTTGCTGTTCGAGCTTCTTCACCAGGTCCTGTAGCTTCCGCACCTCCAGGTCCGCGTTTATGTTGGAATTGATGTCCTCCATGGGTCGCCGAATAAATCCAGTGACTGCCCGGGTGCCTGTCGTCTCTACACGCGGTAGCGGAACACGGTCTCCCGGGGGTGATAGTTTTAAGCGAACACAGAACACAAGTTGGCGTTACACAGAGTAAAGAAGCCCTCCGTCGTCATCTTCTCCGGGCAGCCGTACGCCCGGAACCTGCCGACGCCATCTTCCCTGCTGTCCGTCTCCGCCTCTGAGCCCAGCAGACAGCGGAAAGCAAACGTCAGCGCACGCGAGTCCGCGCGCACCCGCTCACCCGTCAGGGCGCGCGCCGAACCACTAACTAGTGGCGAGTTGAAAGTCCGCTACACTACAAACAACTTAACTGGTTATTTCAATAAACGACTTATTATTCAGGAACGCAAGTAAGCTGTTGTACCCCTGAACATCAAACTGAACCCGAATTGCCGCAGTAGATGTTAAGTGGTGTAAACTGGTAACATTTCGCTTCTGATGAACGACAAAATGTAATGTAATATTTATATGAATAGCATTTTAAGAAGAGTGTCAGGATAATAAGCTCCTCATTCTCCGCAATGGAAGCAAATACTATTTTGGCACTTTTCAGTGTTTTTCATTTAAACTATTAAAATACTGGACTTCATTCAAGGCATTAGGAAAAAAATATTATCGGGTCTAATTAGCAGACATTTAGTATAAAAAACGCAGACACATTTGTCCGGATACAGATCTATAATAATATATGGATAGCTCATGGGCGTCGCCGCCATTAAATTTGAGGGGGACGTGTCCCCCTCACATTTCATAATTATTCGTTTGGACCCCACCCCACCCCACATCTAACATAAAATATTAGTTTTATGTCAGTGTGTCCCCCCGCATTCAAAATGCTTCTGACGCCCCTGGGATAGCTAATAATTAAATAGAAATCGAAGCGTCAGAGATAAGCAGCCATCGGAAATCTATGGTTCCTGATCCTTCCATCCATGACACAAACACACTCCAGACGAACAACGGGTAAGGTGCACGCTGACACGATTGTCTTTGATCGTTGTTATAGCACAATAATGCATAGTTAGCTATTCACAAAGCAACTTGACGGCGAAATGCACTGATATGGACATCCCCAAAACGTTATGTACATCCCAAAAACGCTATATATGTTAAGGATTTATATACGCCTATTTTATAGGTTTGCGCAGTGTGGATAAACTTGGTCCTGACACGTATCCACTTTCCGTGTGGACCGTTTTATTACTTCACTCAGATGATATAGTCATTCATCTCCCTTAGTGTACTTGTGGCGACTTTTTTCCATTCACGATTCAACTAAGCCAGATGTTTGAAAGACTGAATCCAAGACATTAAACAAATCTCAAGACCTCAAAAAGTGACTCGAATACTAAAAGTATTTTTGACATTTATGACAGTAACAGCTGACGAGGCAAAAAAAGCGACAGAAACGGTTTAAATTTACGTCCAATTAAATTACTATTCAGGGAAAATCTGAATTTTCTGGGTCTTTTTTTCCTTACAGCATTAAATTCTTGCAGCTGTTTGCATTATACATTATTGCCCTAGTTGTTCTTATGTCCCCTGGTGGTAGAACATTCACATTACACCCCTGGCAACTAAAGAACCTGTTGAATTATGGTTCCCACAAAAAAATATTTTACTACAACGCACTTTAATTGTTGCTGAAGGAGACTGCAGAGTGCCATCTCCCTTAGTGACCTTCTATGGCAGGGTTATTCAACTCACGGTCCTTGAGGTCCGAGCACTGCTGGTTTTCCAGCCTTCCTTTACCTGTCAGTCAGGTGTGAAGCCCAACTACCTGGGAGAACTGAAAACACGGCCTGGATTTGGAATCAGAGTTGAAGAACCCTCTTCTATGGCTGTTAATAGATTGTGAAATAAATTATGCTCTTAACAGCTTTCTCATGGAGACACAAGGGAAATAAAAGTCACACCAAAACATAGGCAGAATATAGTCCACCCCCGCACTGTCCCGTATGTCCGACAAGCAGAACTCACAGGCCAAAGACACACAGATAGTTTATTAGTCAGTTGTTTGATTTTGGTTTCACTGTGTCCTCTCCATGAAAAGTCTGATTACCTTTTGTTAGCACAAAGTCGAGCTGCAGCTCAAACAGTTGCTTCCAAGGCAGCCGCTCTGGCTGTACATTATACTAATGACCTCTGCTTATGGGGTCACAGTGGGTCCGCATCCAGGGCCTGCTCCTCAGGCAGCCCCAGCGCCTCTGCGGGGGCACCCTCCGCACCCCCCTCTCCTTCTGGTCTCTCCCCCTCGCCCTCGCCATCCACATGGCTGGCCAGCAGCTCCTCCAGTTGCTCCTGCTCAGCACTGGCCTCCGGCGATGCCAGCCGCTCCTCGTCCTCCTCATCCTCCACGTCCATCTCAAAGACGCGGACGTGCCGGAGGTTCGAGCTCAGCTGTGGGGGGGGAGGGGGGGGACAGGCCTCGGCATCAGCTGTGCTTTAGGGAACGGCTATTCCGGCCATAACAGTGGCACATTTCAGCCATTTAATTGACTAGAAAAGCAGGATCTCATGTGCACTAGCTAGAGGTCATTCTAGGATTTATGGTAGGGGGCATAATTCATACAGAGAGGCCAATGATATGTTTTGAATCGGTGAGTGACAGGTGAGGGGGCACAGCTGGGACCAGTGCCCCTGTGACCCTACCCCTGTATATAGCCCTGTCACTAGGACCCTAAAGGGCATGAACTCTGGATTACACTAATTAGGCGTTTAAAGGGGGAAAAAGCAGCTATGGACTTAGCTAAGCTCTTGTTTTCCCTTCTTTTCTGTTTCTATCCAGCTTTCATACGGTCAGTGAAAACGATCAGATGAACAATTTGTTTTGTTTCGACCTGCTCGCTAAGCTAACAAATAACACAAGCTGCTTTGCCTGAGCTAAGCTAATATACAATAAGCGGCTAACTGTACCGGCCTCATCATCACACTAAGCTAATAAACAGCACAGCCATGTTCTGTATAGATTCCCTCACTTTAGCCAGTACAAAATGCTGCTGCTTTTAATGGGCCAGGGCTGCTTACCACACAGGCCACCCTGCGCACGCCATTCACGGCTACGAACTGGGCCCTCATGTTTTCCAGTATTCGCCACTGGTTCTCCAGGGCAAGCATCTGGGCTGGCACTCCCGCAGCCTGCTGCTCCAGTCTGAGAACGCCAAAGACCGGGCAGTCAGCATGTTTGCAGTGAGAATGCAGGAAGTGGTTAGAGCACCAGGTCTCGGGGGCAGACTCACTTTTGGGTGTGGTCCCATGTGAATTCCTCCTCACAGCTGAGCACAGACCCCAGGGGCAGCTGGGCCAGAACACGCTGGCTCCCTTCCTCCTCCCCGGCTTCCCGGAGCACCACCGTTAGCGTCTCGTCGTCATAGATACGTGCGTCTAGGCAACCATACTGACTGCAGTACAGGGGAAACAGTCACATTTAAATCGCAGCACAGTGTCTATCTCCAGGGAGGAGTTGTTTATTCTTTAATGCTGATTAAGCATGCAAATGAAACTGCATTAAAGGTTACAAAACATAGATGGATGTAAGCAGGGGCATAGCTAGAAATTCTGGGCCCCCTGACAAAATGTCACTTTGGGCCCCTGTTACATTATATAATTTTACATAATCAAGGGCCCCTGAAATGTACTGGGCCCCCTGAATCTGCCAGGGTATCCATGCCCCTACTGTCCCTCTGAATCTAAGTTACACTTACAGCATTTCATGCAAACAAGATACAAGGTAAACCTTGAAACCTTGGGTAAGATCAGCAGTCTCAGTACTATCTCCCTGTGCAGGTGAGCTTGCCCCCCCCTCGCCCATGGGAAGGCAGAACGTCACATGACACGACAAAACAGCGAACGCATGGCTGAGCAGTAATGAAGTAACAACAGCGTAGGGACTCACTGGGCGTCTCTGCTGGAGTCGATGCCGCTCTGGAGGGAGCTGCTCAGGTCGATGGCAATGAGAGGGCTGGGGACAGGCCTGTGTACACACACACGCACACGCACACACACACAATTCATATTTACAGCACCCGTAAACACATGCGTATTAAATTTGTGAGAATTCTTATACACGTGCCAACAGAATTCAGGAAGTTAATGCCTGCCAGCCCGTGTGGCCAAGTCACTCCGTCCAGCTGGTGCCGTTGGCTAAGAGACCAGGAAACGTGGAGGGAGGTGAGGCGCACCTGTGCGGGTCCGTGTGCCTCCGCATCAGGTAGAGCAGGCAAGGTGACACCTCAGGCATGGAGAAGACTACGTAGTGCATGGCGGCCTTCTTATCGTTCCACCTGGTGGAGAAGCGGGTTATTGCGTTTTACCGAATCACATGTGCCATTACAGACGTGTTCTGGGTGAGGTTTTGCAGAAGTTTAGAAATGAAACAGGCATGTTTTACTCACAGTGATGGCAATTCAAAAGGCCTCGGACTGCTTTCTGAGCTAAGAAACAAAACAAAGCAAAAAAATTAACTAGTTTCTTTAATTCAAATCATTGCCATTGTTAAAATAAACTGACAGCTGGAACAAATGACGTGAAAGCCACCAATAAAAATAGCTTTTGGGAAACAGCTGCTGAAAGAATGTTGAAATTTGCTAGCAACACTTAGAGAACAGCTGATTTTTCCTGCTATGGCAGCTTATCAGCCCTAAAAAGCGGTCTTAGGATTTCTGTTTGGTCATGTGACTGAGGGTGGGTCAAGGGTCAGGGGTTGGGCACAGTAAGAACTCACCTTTCAGCAGCAGAGTACAAAGGCACACAGAAAGCCTGTTTCACAGACTTCCCAATGACTTCCTACAAATACACATAAAAGACACCTCTGTTAGTTCGATTCTACAGAACATGGCAAACACAGCCCAACTGAGTTTGCCTGTTCACTCACAGCTCCATGACAATACCCAGCACTTTGCATATGATCTTTTGGATCAGAAGTATGTGAAACAAAAACGCAAGTGTTCCTCAGAAGCAAGCCAGGAGGGCAGAGACAGATGGTGTTTTGTGCTGGTGGAGAGCAAAATCTGCCCTGGGTGAGACTGGGTCTTTGGGGTATGAATTATATCTGAAGTAGTCACTGAATAATCCTCCACCCACAAGCCAGGCCTAATCCCAGCTGGGGCAGGACGAAGCTCAAGCGACTATATGCGTCTGTGCCAAAACATCTACAGGGTACATTCCGGAGGGAAAAAAAAACCTCATTAAATGCCATTTCTGTCCTGCGAGGACACAGGATCACATGGCTCCCTTTGAGAGAAAATCATTCTGACGAAAGACAAATTAATCACCACAGTGTTTGGAAGGTGACCCAAGAGTTTCAGTTTCGTTACAAGACAGCCCAGTGGCAAATAGCCAGCAGGGCACACAGTGGGTCACCTGACCTGTGGACCATTTGATTGGACAATGCTTCAAACCTGCAGCCAATAGCAGCGCTTGTTCTCTTATTGTCTTCATTTTAGTGTTTTGACTTCTCTGCTTTCATAAAACACATAACATTGGCGTTTCCTTTATTGTGGCCCGTACCAGTGTGCACATATGTACGCATACATGTGGATGTATGAGCTCCATCACTCACTGCAGGTTTCAGCAGACACAGTTCAATAGCGCTCTCCATCATCCTTTTCACATAGTGCAGGGACTTCTGTGGGTATGAAGGGAACAGTAGGGGCGACTCTGTGTGGAGGAGAGTTATTCTCATGAGACCAAAGCATTGGTAGACCCTCTTCAGGGAGCAGACGGGTGAGGCCTTACCTTTCAGGTGAGTGCTCCCCTTCATAAAACTGAGCCACTGGTTCCCCTCCGTGTTGGGAGGTGACACCAGGTCCTCATCCTCATCCTTCAGGTACTACAATGCAAAGAGGAGACGCCACCGTAAAAACTGGGAGCAGATCTCAGAACAGATGATGGAGCCGCCTCACCTGCACCCACAGTCACAGCTATTTATCAGGTATTTATGCATCTCTTGGTTGCCAAACTAAGTGAAGTATCGCCTAGTGTACATTCACGATCGGATGACACAGATCGTCCTTCTACCGAACTCCAATAAGACAGAAATGATGTCAGGGACCCTTAAGTTACTCTGATTACGTGTATATGAAGTGGAGAAGCCAGTTGGCACATTGTTACTTCTGTGTTCGCTTATTATGACTGTGGTTTGGCTGTTCATATGCTTCAGAATGGCACTTTAAAGACCTACTAATGTGTGATCACACTAGTCCTGCACTATCCTAAAAAATAAAATGTTTCTCTTATTTTAGCCATAAACGGACTCCTACCTCTGTACTCTAGGGGTTTGCCTCTCAAATTGATTGGCTTCTGCTCAAGACACATTTATCAAAAACAAAATCAGCACTGATGTTTAAGTATTTTTACACTTTTACCCATTCATCCAAGTTCATTGGTTCTCTGGGATTTTAGCCTAAGTGCCAGTTCTGAGTCATTAACCACAACAGAAGTGCCAGCTAAGCAACTAAAATGTAAAAGATGTGAAAACTGTTTCAGGTGGAACTCCCACAGTGGCAATAAAACTCTCCAATTGGCTGAGACAATAAGCACTTTAGTGATTGACAACAGTGATGGCCAAACAGCTCTCACCTGGCCCACACACTCGACATTGAAGTACTTCCCTTTGCGGTCAAATAGCTCTTCATTCTGTAGGAGAAGAACAGGAGGAATATCTGCATCACATATACAAACTGGCTATGATGGTCAGCAAAAAAGCAACCTCCTGCCCTTACCTCACTGAAATATTCTGACAGGAAGTCTGCCACAAAAGCAATGTCTTTCTGAGTGATCTGGGGAAGGGAAAAAAGCCATTCAAAAACCTTGATGGATGAAGAGATTCATTGAGAACCACAACCATGACTGGCCAGCTTCTAGCTCAGCATCAATGATCATCTGTTTTTTGTCCAATACACAATATGCCTTTAACTTTGAATCCAGAATCACAGAAACGGTGAGAGACTGTAGGCCCACACTGACAATTTTTCCAATTCAATCCATCTGTCTGTCTGTCTGTCTGTCTCACCTTGTTGAGTTCTGGGGGAACATGGTCATCAGACATCCGTAGCATCGCTGTGACATAAACAGACCAACATCCGCTGTCACACCATCCGATGACTGGATGATTAAACAGATTTTGACACCAGTCAGTGTCCACTGGTACATACTTACCGACATAGAGCCATCGGAAAAAGGCCTTAAAGTTTTTCATGCTCTTATCTATAACCCTGCAGCAGAAATAAAACCCAAGGATGAGAGAGCAGCCAAGTGATGCAAAAGATGGCCTGAGTAGCATGATTTTAAGACCTTCTCATGTTCTCACACTCACACATATACACATGCACACCTCAAAATCAATGCCTTTCAAAAATTTTTGCCTCAAATGACCATCATTCAGCAATAAAATGCCCTCAGAGAATTGCAGCCGTTACCACTATCCCCAACCAGGAACAAACAAGAAAAGAATCCAGCACTCAGAGGTCTATACTCTCCCACATACTGTGGTCTTTGTGCTTCACAGCTGACAGACAGATGCATCGTGGAAAGCATTTATACTCACTGAAGAAGTTCATTGGCCTTGAGGGTGAAAGACCCGACAGCAGTGATGGCATCTTAAAACAGAAGCCAAACCTTTCGCTTAGACACAGCCAAAGATGTAGGTCATTGATATAAGGTAGTAAATGAAATTAATTGTTCAATTTACTATTTACATTCATGAAGGAACTACATCCAAGTTCCATTGCTATAGACATTGAGGCTGTTTGTCACAGCAGTGCTCTGACTGAAAGATCATTATCTTTACTGATATTAAGAGCGGGCTGAACTGGCAGCTGTACCTTCGACAGCAGAGGCATCCAGACCCAGGGGCTGAAACTTCTGCTTCCAGAGCGACATCCCCTTCACCTCGCTCAGGTGGTACAGCAGGACCTCTGCGCCACTTCAGGTTACAGAAAGAAAGACAAGAGATGAAGAAAGGAGAGAGGGTCACTGAACAGTCTATACACATCAGAGAAGTGTTCATAGCTGACAGACTAACGAAGAGATGCTGCTGGACAGCTTGCCATCGCAACCGGAGGGTCCTCGGGCATCTGCCAGCCCTGGGTGGCCCCTGGGGGCCCTCTCTGACTGTCAGCAAAGGCACTCACTCTAGAAGGGGCTGCTAGCCGTTTGACACAAAGGCTCCCGGCAGATAAAAGAGAAGGCCCCAGAACAGAACAATGGAGCCCCGACCGGCTTGCACAGAATTCTCATGCAAAACTGGCAGAAACAGGTCCAAATACCCGTCATAACCAGCCACCGCGGGCACTTAAAATTCAAGACGGGATTCTTAGAGAATGCTGACTATCGCGTTGTGGCTTCCTTGGAATTTAAGGACATTTTCTTGGCATTGGTGTAGGAAAAGCAGACCATGGACTCCGGACCCCAGGGTGAGCGTGGGGGAATGGTTAGAGCATCGGTCCCTCTACCAGAAGGTGAGTACAGAGGCATTTGCCCATTTCAATGGAGCAAGATACAATAACCACTTTATGACTTGTGGCCGATTCCTTTCCATGGATTTGGAATCCATACCCGTTTTAAAGAAGGGTCCACAGAGATACCTACGTCTGCAAGTGGCTGATGACCAGCTTCTGGATGCTGGAGTAGGACGACTCGATGGACTGACTCAATTTCTTGAGGCCCTGGAAACACACAGACACAAATGGACTTTAGTGGATCACAGGTTGCAAGCTTTGGATCATTGATCTTTGGTGCTGGTTCTGGTGGGCTACAACATCTAGGAGCTTTTGAGTCTTTAAGCTACCGTTTGTCAAGCCTAAATGGGTTTACCCGATCATCGCTGCACCAGTAAGTTTCCAAAGATCATAATCTCAGTTAAGTAGAGGAGCAGCTTTTGAAAACACTGATCCAACACACTGCCTATCTTGGCGTATTTCATTATAAAACCCTTCAATTACAAGGTTTGGCCTATTAAATGTTTCTGCAAAATGGGTCACTACTCACAAAAGCATGCTCCTGTTCGCCCACACACTCTGCGGCTGATAGAAATTTGGCACCTGGTGCCTGAGGTTTGCGCTATGTGATCTAGGCTAGCTGTCTGTGGTTTTTAAGAAAGTGCTGCGTTCCGTGCCCCGTTGGATGCCAAGGAAGCAGCTTTAACAGGATAATTTCCTCAGCCTTCCTGTCACCCCCCCCCCACCCTGCCCCTACTTGAACCTCCCTATAAATGAAAGACATGAAAGCCATCAGCAGATATGTCAAAACATGTCAAGAAATCACATCACAGTGGGCTCTTCCAAAAAATAAAAACACAGTAGGAAATGCAATCATAACAAGATTATAGTAGAGAATTCTTTAAAACGCTTACCTTAACAGTCAGCTGGTTCATGAGGAGACCCTGGAGTTCAGGGCTAAACAGAGAGAGACATACACGTCTGTTTTACAAATGACTGAAAATTAATTTAAAATATTAAAGCCACAATGAGATGGAAACTACAGCTTGCTAAACAGGAGACTGAATTCCTGAAACTGTTTGGTTTTTAAGATCAAGGGCTCCGCCTGCAGGAATGAATGCAGTATTGCATCTCTGCATAGGAAAAAGCAGAAACGTTTTAGAGCTCAAAATGCTTGCATCATTTAAGAATGCCGCATGAAATGCATCTAGTTATACTGATCCTGGAGATGCTTTGCGAGATGAGCATGACTGTGTGCACACCAGGTGTCCTGTGTCTGACACACATCATGCCTGCTTGTGTAATATGAACATGGGATTTATGCTTTTGCCATCTAGGTTTTGTGTGTGTGTGTGTGTGTGTGTGTGTGTCTTTGTGTGTCTGACCTTGACTTCCCCCACAGAAGCAGCTCGAGAAACTCATCCTGCACCTGGGTGTTAGTATTCTTCTCCTGGAAGCACGACATCCCATAATTATAAGCCATTCATCCCTCGGATACGTATACTCCTGTACCAAGCAGTCTACTCCATTCATTGATTCATTCATTCCCTCACAGAACACCATGTAAGCACAGCATGGAGCTTCCCCGGCTAACCAGTCAGGAAACATCACTCAGCATCCAGTAACTGGCCTGACGACAGTGACCTCCAACCAGGGTTATTATTGCTAACGAAAACTACAACTATAAGAACATGTTTCTGTAAAGTGAAACAAAATAAGATATGGAAATAAAATTTTAAAACTACAGCTAAATTAAAACTATTGATTCCAAAACTGAAATAAAATTAAGACAGCTGTCAAATATTTTCCATTTTTTAAATATTATTTAACTAAAGTCATGATGATATATAAAAACTAAATAGAAATATAATTTAAAAATTAAAACTAATAAGAACAGTATAGAATACAGTAAACTTTTATTGTCCAGACAATCCTGGAAATTTGTCCTTGGTTTCATAATATTCAGACATATGAGTCACATAACATCATTGAACCATGTAACAGCATTAAATTAAAACATTCAAGAACATTCAAGTCTAAAATTGCCTAGAGAACATGTTGATAAGATTCACTGCCTAAGGAAAAAGGATTTTATATACAGCTTTGTGTGCCAGAGGTGCACCATCAACCTCAATATCATCACTGCTTTTCTATGTACTGAAACATTATAAAGATTTTTTGTTTTAATTAAAACTACAATAATGTTGCCTCTGACCTGGACGAACTTGGTGAGCCGCAGGTCCATTTGCATGAGGATGTCCTCCCAGGCCTCGCACATGCAGGTGAGCGACAGCCTCAGGTACTGCACATCGAGAAGCACAAGTCACATTTCTGTCACGTATAGCAGGCGAGGCCTGCGGGACCCTGGTTACCACGGTTACCACAATACCCATCCAACACTCACCTGCAGCAGCGTGGAGATGTGGGTGAACTTGAATGCCATCCTGGCCAGCTCAGGCAGACAGTCCGACAGCAGCTTGGTGTCCAGCTGAATCACACACACATAATACATGTGAGATACATGTACCACGTCTGTGTAAACCATACATGTATGCATATGTCTGTGTAACCTTTGGTACCTGAATGTAGCTGATCTCAGGCTGATCATCTGTGGCTTTGATCTCCGTGACGACGGCCAGTGACTTCAAGTCGCTAGACAGACAGAGGCTTCTGCAGGTCCCAGGGACCTGAGAGAGATGCCGTCAGTCAGCGATGGTGCAAACGGGCCGGCAGAAGCTCCGTGGTACCTAACCCTCACCCCGCTCAAGGTGGCGATCCTGTACATGCCATAGGCATAGAGCTCCACAAAGCCAGAGTGTCCCCCCAGCACCAGCATGTTGAGCCTGCAGACAGTGGGATGCAATGACCCGTTACCCAGAATTCAACATGGCAGCTAGAAGCCTGCTGCTTAAAGGGAAAGTAACTGAAAAGTTAAGGGACCGGTGATAAGAAACCACAGTGCTTACCGTGCATCACCCAGGAGGTTCATGACCTCATCTGACTTCTCCTCACTGACAGATAAACATAGTTACTAGTCAAGGATGGCACAGGCAATATACAACAAAAAAGCTATGCAGCAATACTCACAAATGATAAACTATATAAAGAGACTAGGACTAATAATACACACACACCTGTACTCATATCTTTGTGGGGACTGTCCATTCATTTGTATGGGCAAAACTCTAATCCCAACAATGACAACCTTAACCCATACCCAGACCTAACCTTAGCCATAAGTAAGCAAACAAAATACAGGACATCTAGCATTTTAAGTTTTTTTTTATTGCAGTCACATATTTTTATTAAATTGAATTTCTCCAAGTGGAGATTGAAGAAAAAAAACGGTCCCTCAACATCAAAACAACAGGTTTTTATCACATTATGGGGACCAAATGTGCCTAGAATGTAATGCATATCTGCACCACACACACACAGACACACTTACCTAAATATCTTTGATGTGGTGCTATAGCTGTAAATGCAAAATGTTTTACATTTAAAAAAAGGCAGAAAATCCACTACAGGTGCAGACTACTGCCTATAACAAAAGATTCAAGAAAACTTTATTGTCCATTACTAATTAAAATAAATTCCTCTTAGACACAGCTCATTTATAAAACATCAGACAACACAACACAAGGTAAAAAACCATCCATTCAACTATCCCTCTATTTTCAATAACTGTTTGTCCTATTCAAGGTCACAGGGGGGCAGAGCCTATCCCAGAGGCTACGGGCACAAGGCAGGGAACAACCCAGGATGGGGCGCCAATCCATCGCAGGGCACATTCACTCACACATGCACACCTATGGGCAATTTGGCAACTCTAACTTCAGCATGTTTTTGGACTATGGAGGGGGGAAACCAGAGTACCCAGAGGAAACCCCACGATGACACGGGGAGAACATGCAAACTCCACACACATGGAACCCTGGCGGAGACTTGAACCCAGGTCCAAGAGGTGTGGCAACAGTGCTAACCACTGCAATATCATGCTGCCCCCAGCAAAAACCAATAAAATAATTTAAAAAAACAACCAATTAGAAAATAAAATCACAAAGCCAATAAGAATACTTATTTTTAAGCGTGTAAGATACTAATGGCTGTTTGTATGTAATATTCCTGACCAGAAGCTAGTCTAGTACATCATTCCCTTTAGTTCCCTGATGTACAGCATGGTGCGTTGTCACGGCACTTAAGCTCAGAGCTCAGCAACTTACCTCTTTGGAAGTGTAGCTAGCTTGGGCAGGAACAGGTTGGACTCATCTTCCGAATTATAGAAGGAGGTAAGGATGCTGGAAGACAGGAGAAGCATTCATAATGACTACAGAAGATGGTGAGGAAGACCAGGATTCAAATTTCTAGGTTTCAGATTAAGTGACGGCAGTTCATATTCAACAAAATGCTTCCAACACTGATTCAAGCAAATTTGATACTCCAGTATGCTCTAAATCAAAGTATTTTGGATTAACGTACAAATGAACAGGAATGTTGAAATGCTAAAAAATGCCTCTGCTGCCAAGCATCTATGCAGCTCTGTGGTGAAATCCGCCATGCAGACCTGCTCTCCTCCAGTACGTCCATCCACTGCATACACGTGATCGGGTTCTCCACGGGGAACAAGTGCAGGATCTCAGCCTTCTCAGCATCGCAGAGGACCACCTTCCTGGTGTCCCCCACACCAAAGGCCAGGACTATGCAGCATCGAGAAGACAACATCCACGTGTCAACCGCTCATGCTGGTACTTGACAAAATAAAGCAAATTCTGATTCGACACTTGCCTCCACCGACTAAAGAGAAAATTAAAAAGTCCACCTACTTTTTCCATCGGGCCTCCACGCCAAAGCGGTGATTTCCTTGCCCGTGTTCTCATTGGGAGCCAAACTCCACACTCGCTGGAAATTCGCCAGCCGATGCAGCAGCAACTACGGTCACATCATTTAGGGTCAGTGGGATACTCAAAGTAATATTAATATCAAGCATTGCACAGGTGTTTTCTGATCTGTTACTCAGGAAGCACGTTACTCTGCATGTGAGAAAGACCTACACGTCCACCCCCCACAGTAACCAGTTGCAACTTTGCGAATTATTAAAAGGGAGATATGATGTGAAGCAGAGTGATACAGTTGATGTGAAATGTCCGAGAGCGTACCGATAACCGCACTCTCAGAATGCCTAGTGTCCAATCAGATGTCTTGGACCGAACTAACTGTTGTATAATAAACGGTAACAACTCTTACCTCGCCGGCCCTGTTAGCTAATGCTATCAGATCCCTTTTCGGAGACCACACCATAAACAGAATGGGGTTTGGAAGCTGCTTCTCTCCCACTTGACGAAAGGCAGGCATACTGGAAAAAACTACAAAAATACAACGTGAATATTTCTCTACTTAATCGATCAATAAAATAATCCGCATCCAACGTACTCTTACACAGCACGACAATGCTAAATTTAACAAAACTGCAAAACTCTGCGCATGCCTGCTACTTTATATCTCTCACTACTCAGTTTATTCCTTTAAAAACATCTGTTTTTGATATGGGCTACCAAAGTAATACTATATTATAAATCTACATTTTCTACATGGAATCTATTCATGTACAGCGCCATTAAGCAAAATGCTCTGTTTTGCCAATCAGTAGATAGTACGAATATCCAATGAAATCGCAGGACGGAAGTCTTAAACAACCAATCATCAAACGGCCCGGATACGTGACGAAATCCACAGGACGGGTAGTTTCAAGGGACAAATCTTGTGGCGGTAACACAAGTGGATGCATTTAGTTTTAATACTGTGGTTTAATAAAACCGGAGTCACTTTTTAATGGAGATACGATACACGTGAATTTTAGTAAATCGTATGGCAAACATATAAAAGTTAAATATTCTGTAGTGGTTAGGATTGGCATTGGACATTAAAAACGTCTGCTAAATAAGTAATATTAAAAAGTCAGGTTCCGTTTTCGAAACAAACCACAAATTTGAGTTAATAGTGTGCATGCTTGTTGCTTGGTTAACCCATTATACATAAGTCACTGGATATGTAGAGCAGTGTTTGTCAACTGGGTCGCGGGTCATGTGTGGTTTAAAAAAATTATCGTTTTCTTTCATGAACATTCGAGATATTCGTTTATCTCCATTTACCTAATAGTGCATAACATTCACTATTGCTTTTTGGAGAATCTCACTGCATAAACATTCACTGTTGCAGTGTTGGCATGAGAACAAGGAACGCTTGCTGTAGCCTCTGACGGGGGAGTTTCTAGCTATTGGGGCTAAAAATCAAGTTTACCTGGGGGGCTTGACCTTTTTGAAGGAGGATAATTGGCATCCGGGCTAAAACCCCGAGTGATCCGAAATAACGACGCCCATGGCCCCTAGCTAAAATTCCACTTTCCCTTTGGAATGGTCCGTTTTTGTAGATTCACAGCGAGGATTAGCATCCTCGTCTTCTTGTCCTAAGAGCCTTCTGTTTTTTTCTTATCAAATGGAAAAGCCGTAAGGCTATGTCCGCATCGCCTGGGGGTATAAAGGACTAATTGTGGATGACAGCTGTTGCTGACAGCTGTACGAAGCAATGGAGGGTGTTGCTTTTCTTTTGTGTGCTTAGTGGTTTGATGTGTCTTTCGGTTGAGTTATGTTTGCTTTTTTAGATGGGTAGCGTGTTAAATCGTGTTAACAGATAATAATGAAATCGAGAATTTTGACAAAAGAACAATATGTGAAGTATTTGTTTTAGCGGTTAAAAACTAACTTTTAAGTAACTACATGTTGAGAACCACAATGGGGGCTCTCAGTTCAAGAGGGTGCACATTTATGATTTAGTCACCGAGCCCTAGTCTAAGAGTAATGATCTCTGTGGCAACCATATACCCAGTCTGCCCAAATTCCGAATTATATCCAGAGCGTTAATGGTTAGGGCAACAGGTGTACAAAGGGGTATATGACCACTGGACACTAATTTCATATCCTTAGGACAGCCTTGGATGGACCTTTTACGCTGGAAACTTAACCTGAATTCCTCAGGGAAAATATCCGGGTGTATAAACGAGTCCGATTAGCTAAGCTAATGCTAAGCAAGTAAAAATAAACAGCCTGACAGAAAAAGCAGTTAATCTTGTGGAATATAAATAGATTGATCCTTCCACTCACAAGCAGGAAGTATATATATAACAGGCCGCTGAAAGACCTTTACTCTTTGTCCCTTGATTCCAGCAGAGTCTGTGGAGTCCGCCGGGACACGGCGCCCCCTGCTGGAGGTCAGCTCTCAGTCCCAATGTGTAACGTAGAATAGCTCGTTTTCTTAAAATGTAAAATTAGGTAAGTATCGCACCATTTATAGTCGATGTTTGTCACAAAAAGACAAAAGATTAAAAAAATATAAATTATAAGCAGGCAAGATGCCTGCCTATAAACACCCAGTTTCCCTCATCCATATGTGACATCATGTATAGAATGTATGCTTGTGATGCTTTCAGCCTACCTCAGTTAATGGGGGGAGGGGAGAATGTGTGTAGCTAGTTTAGCTCATCCACAGTTATCGGTGGACGTATGGCCTATCACCTCATCTTTCTGGCTGTCTGCCCCACCCCCCCATCCTAGCCCCTTCAGTCGCACCCTGGGCCCCCGGTCACTATCCCCCCCCCCAGGAGCTGGGTCTCCTCTATCTACATTCCTGTGTCAGGCACCAGTCTGTAACATGAGCATGCACCCCAAATATAGCGCACCCATCCAGGGTGCTGGGAATCACAGGGGCTGCTGGGACAGCCAACTGGGAGCGGGAGTGTGTCGCCCATAGGCTACTGGAAGGCTACTCTTCTGGAAAGAGAGTCTTCCTTACTCTTCTTAAACTGGAACCTCCGGGGCCAGGAATCGCGCGCTTAAAGAGTGCAAGGTGAGCTCAGACATTCTCATTTTTACACTAGGGCTTCACTAGATGACCTCATCTAGATAGGATGTACTTTTAACTGGGGGATTAAGGTTCATTTGTTGGGCACAGGGGGTGACATTTGGTTGATGGCGCATAAAACATATTGCTAAACACAAAGTAAACAGTTTGGCTTCCTTGGAATACGTGCAACACGGAATAACTTTGTTAGATCATACAAGTTCCAACGAAGTTCATAGTAGTGGTCTCAGAGCCTTATGGTGTACGACTGATTAGCTCTGCTATGGTACTGGCTCAGAAAGAGGCTATTATTTACAAAAGCAGTCTGCCTTCCCGCCTCGGTGGTACTGGAATAACGTGAACATCTGTGAAACGTGGGCTATGCCAGAGGCGGCTTGGGAGCAGCACCGGCTCCGAGACTTAGCAGGGGCCACTCGTGTAGGGGCCCATCACGTGTCACAAAACCTTAAAGCTTGGCATCTGTTCAACAAGTGGGGGCCACTGCCACCGGCGTTTCCACGTCAATAATTCAGACCTTTACTTCATACAGAGATGTTGTTTTAAAAGTAAAACAAACTAGTGGGTCTTAGCACAAGTGCAGCTGAGAGATCTCTGGAGGACTAGTGACAGAGCCTGGGTTCGAATGAGCCTGCTCCACTCAGAATCAGCGCTCCGCACATGCAAACACGTATGTTTGTGTCTGTGTCCTTAAGTGTGTCTTTCTGTCATGTGTTAGTTCTTTGTGTGTGTGTCTTTGTTAACTACGTATCTGTTTGTTCATGTTAAATCCTGCCTGTTTGTGGGTATTTTATCGGCTATAAGGTTAATTTACTGCATGAATATTGTTTGTTTTTATGTGTCAGTATGTTAATCCTCGTTAAGTGTTGTTATTGCAGATGTATGTGTTTGTTTCAATGCTGCGTGCGTATTTCTAGTGTGCATATGTTAATTCTCTGTATGTGTGTATGTTTCCTTTTAGTCCAGATGGTGTGTGGGTACAGCCATTTGAATTAACATCGTTGGTAGCTGTTGGTCACCTGTGTTTTGTTGTTACAGTTGTGTGCCCTGCATGTATTGTTTTTGTTGTTGGTCCTTTGTGTGTGGTTGTGCTAACATTGTGTCTCTGTTGCTAATCCTCTGATTGTAAGCATGTCGGTCTTGTTCTCACTAATTCGTGTGTCTGTGAGGAATTGTTAGCTCTTTGTGTGCATTTTGATAAGCTGTGCTTCTGTTTTCTAGGATGCAGGACGGGAGTTGTGATCAGACGCTCCCTCTTTCTCTCGTGCTGAAGGATGCAGGCTTGGGGGATGGAGGGCAGCTGAGCCTAGACTCGCTGGCAGAGCTGGGCAGCGCTGAAGGCGTCCTTGAGGGTGGTGATGAAAGTGACTTCCCAGAGCTGTCAGCCTTCCTCAGCCAGGAGGAGATAAACCGGAGCCTGGATCTGGCGTGGGAGGCCTTCTCCTCCACCGGGGATGACGACGCTCCCAGCCCCGAACCCCCCCTCTGCTGCCCCATGTCTGAGACCAACTCCCCACCCCCCCTCAGTGCTCAGGACTCTACTGTCCTTGTAGGTCCCACCCCCAACCAGACCCATGACCCCACCCCTCTAGATGGCCCCATCCCCCTCCAAGCACAGGACCACATCTCCACTGGTGGACAAACCTGTCCCCTGATTCAGGACTCAGCCTCCAGTGAAGACTCCACGCCTAGCAAAGACTTTGCCCCCAGAAAAAGCCCCCCCATCAACGATGGCTCCCCAGCTCTCACCTCCTTGGCCCAGAATGCACTGCTGTCAGGTGTCCAGCAAACCTCAGGGACCTCAAAGGGCCCCAAAATGGCACCAGTGTACAAGCAGGACCGGCCCCGGCTTCTGCACGGGGGTCCAGAGCTCAGTGATATCTGTGGCCGTTCAGCCACCTTCATCGAGGAGCTATCCTCAATCTTTAGACGACCCGCCCGGGCTGAGCAGAGCGCCAATGAGGACTCTTCTTCCCCTGACAGTGGGTACCTGTCACCCCGAGACCGGGCCTTGCAGAAACAGGGGGGGGGCATGCAAAGCAAGCCAGCTGTGGTCGAAGCTGGTGAGGTCACTGATCAGCAGGGTGATGACACCATCCCTGAGGCCCCGCCCCATTTCTTACAGAAATTGAAGAGCCAGGAGGTGTCGGAGGGGATCCCCATTCGCCTGGAGTGCAGGGTCACTGGCAACCCCCAACCACTCGTTAGGTAGGGGAAACCTGCTGTTTATGGTCATGCCAGTGTAGAGTATGCTGAGTTAGAACCATGGTTTTACCACGTCTACTGTTTATGGTCATTCCCGAATACTGAGGTGCAGCCAACAGTCATGAGTCTAGTATAGTAGAAGCACTAGTTGACCTGGGGGGTGTTCCACAAAGCAGGATTTTTCGCTTAGCTGGATAAATTGTTGGATTTAAGATAGTCTGGGTTAAAAGGAATTTATTTTTATTCACTTACATTTAGCTCAGACTACCTTAAATCCAACAAGTTATCTGGCTAAGCAAGAAATCCTGCTTCGTGGAACACCCCCCTTGGTCTTTTGCTTCTGTTTGTTCGAGCCCATAGCATTGTCATGATGATGGAATCCAGAAGACTGAACTTCCTGTTTTAGAGCTTGAGTTATGTGAGAGCTTTTACAGCTGCATCCCTTTGGGTGCTGTTTCATTGGGATCTTGGTGGCTTATGGAGTTGTGGGGATGCTGGCCAGACACTATTTGTTACTTAGGATCCTAGCTGGAATG